TCATTCAGCTCTCGGAAGATCGACCCTCGAGCTTCCAACATTCTCCTTCCGAGCCCCGAACCACGAGAGAAAATCGCAGACATGCAGAGGATGATGATTTTCTGACGGTCTGTGGGTTTCCCGCAGGTCGAGATTCCAACCTCGGGAAGCCGACGCTTCGACCCTCGGAAAGGGGGGGAGCGAATTCTGGGAAACCCGTGAATCCTCTGAGAACTGTCACTGTCATAAAGATCACCCCGCATGTCGCCCCCCCGAGGGCGCCCGCACAGTTCAAGAAACTGAAGGACTCTGGCCTTGAATCTCGGGGAATCCGAGGTTCGACCCTTGGTGGGCCAAGTTATGGGAAACCCACGCGACCTCGGAGAATTGCCATTCTCCGATGGTCGATTGGGTTTCCCATAAGCCACCCCCCCAAGGGCGCCCACAAAACTCAAGACATCCAGGAACCCTCGGGCATTGAATTCGGGAAACCCGAGGGTCGACCCCCATGGAGCCGAATCATGGGCAACCTATAAACCATTGGAGAAATGGCAATTATCGGATCAGCAATTGGTTTCCAATATTTCGGAATTCCAAAAGCGGACAAAAAAACTCGACCCTGGGGGTGGCGAGTTATGGGCAACCCATTCATCATGAACGTGGGTTCCAACAATCGGATCCAAACTCATTACTCAATGCCCGGGCCCGATCTAGTCATAGTCCAGTCTGGATCCGGTCTGGCTTGGCTCATGTCGCACTAACTGAATCGACTTGTTTCGGAACGCGACCATGCCTACCCACCCACTCTATCAAGAAGCTGCACTCCTTCAAACATCTTCAGGCCCCATCTCGCCTGAACAACTCCGTCTCCCCAATACAACCGAATCTTACAACTCTTGTCCAAATGTTGTGGATTTCATCCACTTGTTTGTGATTCCCCTCAGGGGGCTGGGCAAGTTGATGACCTCATGCGCCCATCAGGATAATGGCATTGATGAGCGTTGGCGCGCTCGTGCAGAGTAGGTGACAGGAGTCATGGTATTGTGTTGGGAACACCCAAATGGTGATTCGCATGTGTCTCATGACTTTGTTGTTTACTTGCCAAAAAACAAGTGTCCTTAATATTGTTGTCTACGCGCGCAAGTTGCCAGCACGTTGTTATTTCAGCATGATTTGTAACATCAGTCAAAGAAGTGCTCGACGCACAAGAGTATGGACCAGGGCTCGTGCCGGGGCCTGGTCGGGCGTATCTGCAGTTGGTATCAATCCACAGGTCGGATTGACGCTGGGCTCACAAAGCGTGTGAAGACACAAATCATACCATCAGGGCCAGATCAGGCCCTGTCAGGGCCACAGGAGACAGTACTGCCCATCCGCCACCGTGCCCCCTGGCTCGTTGAGGCGTGCTAGACTGACAAGTGCTGTCTGGTAGGGCTCTTGTAATCTTCTAAGGAGTCCCCCCCCTCCAGACCGCACCTCGTCGCATGCACCGGCCATGCCTCGTCACATGCACCGGCCATGCTCCTCTCCATAGCTTCCATGACAACTCAGGAGGCTCCCAAGACGGTCCAAGAGGGCCTCGAGTCGCCGAACGACCGCTCGAAGACACCCAAGATGGCCTCAAGATGGCGCAAGAAAATTCCAAGGCGCCCCATGAGGCCTCCAGAGAGGTCTCCCAAGAGGGCCCCCAAAGGCAAAAATCTGTGACTTTCCTTTCGTTATTGGAAGATGTTGGCGGTCTCGCCTTTTCGGCTTTCCGACGCTCCAACACGGCCCGAGAGGCCCCCAAGACTACCCCAAAACTGCCCAAGAGGCCTCCAAGAAGGCCCAAGGGCCAAAGAGCGCCCCAAAGACAGCCCAAGGGGCGCCCAAGACGGCCCAAGAGGGCCCCAAGACGGCCCCAAAAGGGGGCCCAAAGAGGGAACACGAACCGAAAATCCGAGCCTTCCGCCCCAAGGCCCCCCCCCCCCCAGGAGGCCCCAAGAGGCGCCCAAGAGTCCCCAAGAGGCCCTCAAGAGGCCCCAAAACGGCCCCAAAGAGGCCCCAGCGAGATTCCAACGAACATCCACTAAGCTTAAAACCCACAACGCAGGCACGGTGGCGGGACTTGCCGTAGGCAGCTAGATACAGATAAAAGTTACATCATATCACGGCACAATATCGTTTGTAGTGCTCTCTGTAGTCCTCTAAGAAGCTCTATAGGGTGTTCTGCCACCTGGGATCTACTTTGTTACGCTGGGAATCGTGTACGCCCTCAGCCCACGGTGGACACATAGCCCACCTACGAAGCCAACCCCATCCCCCTAGAAATCCTTGGGGGATGTCCTCGGTCTTACCCACGGTCCGTCTTGAGCCTACGTGGGCCCACTAACGTCGTTAAGGCACCCCGTCAAGTCGTCACTCCTCACTTGTCCTCTGCACTCATCCTCGTTGTCCTCCTCCTTGTCCTCTTCCTCCTCCTCCTCAGCCTTCCTCCATCCCTCCCTTATCGCTCCTCCCCGTCCTGCCCCTCCTCTTCCTCCTCATCCTCTGGCCCGTGACTGGTGGATCATCGCAGCCCATAGCTTTCGTGTGCGGGGTTTCTCTCTCTCTCTCTCTCTTTCTCTCTCCCTCTCTCTCTATCCCTTAAATCCCCCTCTCGCTCTGTCTCTTTCTCTCTCTCTCTCTCGTCCCTCTCCCTGTGTCCCCCCCTCTCTCCGACTCGCTCGGCGATCCGTACTTTCAGAATATCTCCTTGCAGACTTCAAGCATAATCTCCTGTTGAAGCGAAATATTCACGGCCACGAAACTGGACAATCGTTGCGATAGTCTCGATGCTGAAGATTCGGCTTCCGCCACTTGTGGCCAAAATTGATTTATGAAACTACACCCATACATATATATATGTATGTATATATGTATATATATATATATATATATATATGCACACACGCATACTGGCGTGTGTGTGTGCGCGCGCACATGTATTTTACATATTATATATCCACCACCGTGCCCTGGGGCACGAGTTTAAGTGTCCTCAGGTCCCGCCGAGTTCTCTGTATTGAACACTGTTCATGTTCTAACAAGGGCCGAGGGTCCAACATTCCAAATATTCTGGGCGCTCTTCGGCGCTCCTGGGGTCGGTCGCGTGACTTTTCCAAAAGCAAGAGGGTCCCCAAACGGGCCAAGAGGGCCCCAGGAGGCCCCCAAGACGGCCCAGGATGGCCCCAGGTCGCCCAAAGATCGCTCTAAGACGCCCAAGATGGCCCACTGACAGCCTAAGATGCCCTGAAGACGCCCCGAGAAAGCTCCACAAAGCGTCCCAAAAGGGCCCCGAGACGCCAAAACCGCTGATTTCCCGTGAGTTTTTGAAGGATTTCGATGCGTTCGCCTTTCGGGCTTTCCACACTCCAAGACGGCCCAAGAAGTCCATAAGATCTCCCCAAGGGGCCTCCAAGATGCCACCTGACGGCCCAAGATGGCCCCAATACGTCCCAAGAGGCCCCCCTGACGGTCCACTTGGGCCCCAAGGGGGCCCAAGAGCGGCCTCAGAAGGGGGGACACGAACCGACATTCCGAGCCCTTCGCCCCAAAATGGCTACCGAGACCGCCAACAAGCCCCCAAGAAGCCCCCCACAAGCTCCAGGAGGCCCCCAAGAGAGTCCTGAGAGGCCCCCAAGACACCCCAAACCCGAATCAAAGAGGCTCCCAAGAGGTCTACCACAAGATCCATACAGGCGTTCCAGACAACTCCGACCTACAACACAGGCACGGTGGCGGGATGAGCCCCAATAATATGTACATATATATATATATGCGTATGTAGGTATACCTGTGCGTATACTTATACCTTATCTATATATATATATAGAGAGAGAGAGAGAGAGAGAGAGAGAGAGACACGTACGCATCTGCACACGTTGTGCCTTGTGATGTATATACACGTATGAAAAACTAAAACATGAGTGTAGACCTATGTTTACACTGGCCACGACCGTCAACACACATGTGGATATAGCTAGCATGGGTAGTACTACGCATGTTGCTGATCGTATGTGATATCCGTGCTCCTCTGTGCGCAGCAGTGATGCAACTCTGCACACAAACCGTAATCTTAGGAACGTTCACGCATGCAACCACAACCATGCCGATGGCACACCAGTGTGATACATAGTTAGGACCAGCAGGTGGATCGGGACTACAGCTCACAAGTCAAACTGGACGAGTCTGGCGAGCACGCAACACTTTGTGATACGGGGGAAGGGAGTGTGATATCACCGTAAACGCTCACACGCCCGTATTGGACATGTCGGGGGCTTCTTTAGCCAACGTGATCTCCCGGTGTTCGGGGCCAGCGTCAACCGAGCTGGGGAAATCGTGCTGAACTTGGCACGGCTGGCAGCTGACTTGGGGGCAGGGCCATAGTCACACATCCAACATGCTGTGCTAGTCGATCGAGGGCGGCCTGCCTTCTCCCTGGCCTGCGCACGACGCTGCCCGCAGACCTGCGAAGGACACCTTTTGGTTTGGTCGGTGGGCACCCGCGAGACAGGTCCAGGTCACATCGGGAGGCGCGCTCCCGAAATGAATTGCGGCACGGAAGGAGCCGGGCAAAGGTAGATTATCGGGAGCGGCCAAGAGGGGGGTGTCCAAGAGGGGGGGGTGCAAATCATGACCGGCGGCATGTGCGCGGCCCAGCGGGGGGGCCAGGGACGCAATGAAATAAGAAGAGGCGCCATGAAATCTGGGGAAATATCGTGGCCCCCGCCATGATATCCACCCTCCCCTAGTCATCACCCCCCTCTTTTCCGTCCCCGAGGTTAGGGGAACGAACAACGACATAAACATAAAACTCGAAGCTCCGCGCGGAATCCTCGGATATCGGCGCTGGGCCCCCCTCCCTGGCGCGCGGAGCGCGCCGCGCCGCCAAAGGGGGGTTCGGCGCGGGTCCGAGGAATCCGCGCGGACCGGGCCAGGTCCCGAAACGGGCGGCCCGAAAACAGGTACCCGGGGCGGGGGGGGCTCGCTGGGGCCCCCGCTTCGCGGCCGCGAGCGCGAAGGCGGCGAGGAAGTTGATGCCCTGGCAGTAGGCCACCTGGCAGCGGGAAGCTACCCGGTGGCCGCTCGGAGGGGCACGGGTTGGCCAGGGGGCGGGGCGGAGGCAACGAAAGGGGGAGCTGGTGGGCACCCAAGGGGTGGGAATGGAGACCATGGGGATATATATATATATATATATATATATTTGTGTGTGTGTATGACGAGAGAGAGAGAGAGAGAGAGAAAACAAAAGCAACAACGAGAGAGAGAGAGAGAGAAAGCGATATATTTCTATATATATAGAGAGAGAGAGAGAGAGAGAGAGAGCGAGAGAAAGAGATATAGAGAGACAGAGAGAGAGAGAAACAACAAAAGAAAGCAGCGCGCGAGAGAGAGAGAGAGAAAGAAAGAAAGAGATGGAGATGGACACAGCATCAAAAACGTTACGCAGCTAAGGACGGCGGAGGTTATATTGGAACGGGTACTGATGAGATGGGTTGAGGAGAGGGGCCAGGGAAAGGAGGGCATGTGGGAAAGATAGCGGGGGATGAGGATCTTCAACAGAGGGGAGGCAGACATATGTGTATACATATGTGGAGAGATAAAGAGAGATAGAGAGAGAGAGAGAGAGAGACATTAACACCATCGAGTGCTTTAGTGGGGATACATGGGAAATAACGTGAGAAGGATGCAGGAGACAGGAGGGATGAAGATAAATGGGGGATGGGGAGCGAGGGGGAGGGGGGAGGTGGAGGGCGGAGACAACGGATGGAGGACTCGAGGCTGGATCCCGCACCAGGCTCGTTCCACAGGCCCGCAGCATGCACTGGCAATGCTTGTGGCGTCCCTCATCTCCTTGCTGCAGTACGTTCACGCATCGGCGCATGAACTCCTGCGAAAAATAAGGGCGTCTATATATAATTATAATTATATATATGTATGTGGAAACCTGAATAGTTCCTCGTTCGCGGCTGCTGGCGACCACGAAGGGCGTCCTTCAACCACCTTCTCGGGCAAGGACGTTCCTTCCCATATGCTCGGGTGGTCTCTGTGAAGTTCCCAGGTCGCATCCGCCAAATGCCCCATCGTTCCGCATCCACCCAGGGATCTCCCAGGTCCCAAAGAATTCACGGTCCGATATTTGGGAACTCACCCAGGCGCCCCTCCTTCGGCACTGGCGTTCGCAAGCTCGTCGCCCTTTCCACCTTCCCTCCTCATCCCCCATTTCTCCTACCCTCGCCGATCGCTGCTCCTCTTCTCGATCCCTTTCTACGCGCTCTCACATCCCTCTCCCCCGTGGCTGCATGCTCCATCGTCTCCCTCACAATCCCGCCTCCTCTGCCCGTATTTCCTCCTCCATCTCCTCACCCCTTTTCCCCTCCCTCTCCCCATCCCTCCCTCTCTCCATCCTTATCCCTCCCTCCCCGCCCCTCCCCTCGTCTCCCTCCTCCCCTCCCCGATCCCCCCCCCTCTCTCACCCCCTCTGCTGGGCTTGCGCTAACATGGATCGGGGATCCGCGGACCTGGCGCGAAAAAGAGAAGCCGATGCCGCCCGATGTGGCCACGGAGCAGGCCGACGCTGCACGGAAGCGGAACCCGTGGTTGATCCGTACGCCTTACTCCACCCTCCACGGAGGAGGAGGAGGAGGAGGAGGAGGAGGAGGAGGAGGAGGAGGAGGAGAGGGAGGAGGAGGAGGAGGAGGAGAGGGAGGAGGAGGAGGAGGAGGAGGAGGAGGAGGAGGAGGAAGCGGAACCCGTGTTTGCGCTTCCTCGGCCCTGCCTCCCTCCCCCGCTCGCTGCGTCGTTCTCTCCGCCTCCCCCGTCTCCCCCGCTCGCCTGCGCCCCTTATCCCGCCCTCCCTCCAACCTTCTCCCTTCGCCCGTGCGCCTCCTCCTCCCCAACTCCCATCCCTGCCCTTCATCCCTTTTCCCTCATTCTTCCCCCATTCGCCTCATTTCGGGAGCGGCCAAGAGGGGGGTGTCCAAGGGGGGGGGGGTGCAAATCATGACCGGCGGCATGTGCGCGGCCCAGCGGGGGGGCCAGGGACGCAATGAAATAAGAAGGGGCGCCATGAAATCTGGGGAAGTATCATGGCCCACGCCATGATATCCACCCCCCCCTAGTCATCACCCCTCTCTTTTCCGCCCCCGATCATTCCCTCCCTCCCCTCCCCTCTCCACCCCCTCACTCTCCCGCTTCCGTCCCTCCCTCACTCCCACCCCTTACCGCCTCCCTTTCCTCTGCCTCCATCCGCCCCCCCTCCTCCCCCCCAAAATCCTCCCCCTACCTCCCCAAACCCTCCCCCTCCCAAACCCTTCCCCTACCTCCCCCTCCCCCCCAAACCCTCCCCTCTCCCCCTCCCCCCCAAACCCTCCCCCTCCCCCTCCCCCCCCAAACCCTCCCCCTACCTCCACCTCCCTGCCTGCCTCCTCCTCCCGCGGCGTGGCGCGAGTCGCCATCTACCACCTCCGGGATCGAAAAAACGCGGATCGGCACTTCAGGAAGCAATCGCCCCACGAACAATCGTCCTCGAACCTGATCCTCGATCCTCGATCCTCGATCGTCGATCGATCCTCGATCCTGGAACTCTGGCCCTCCCTCGATCCTCGACTCTCCTCCTTCGAGCGACCCTGAGGGCCCGGGACCCGTCGCAGAGGGCGGCTCCTGGACCATCCAGGATCGAGGCTCGAGCGAGGATGGAAGAGCCGAGGCGCACCAGGAATCGAAGGTGCAGGATCGAGGACGCAGGAACGATCGCGAGCAAAACATCCAAGGTCGACCGCAGGCCGAGACTTCTGCATCTGGGGCCGGTCGAAGATCGATCATCCACCGTCGTCCGGCCAAAGGCCGCAGTCCGACGATCGAGGATCGAGCGGACACCGATGTTTTGGGATCCAGGGCCGATCAAAGAACGAAGACTCGGGGTCGAACCGGAATCGACGGTGTAAGATCGAGGATCCAAGATCGAGTATCTGGGGCCGATCGAAGACAGATCCAAGACCGATCGACAACCCCAAGGCTGCAGAATCCAGAGCCCATGCATGATCGATGGTCTGGTTTCACAGAAAGTCCAAGAACCAGGGCAGATCCTGGATCCTCGATCCTCGATCTTCGATCACTCATCGATCCTCGATCGTCCATCCTCCATCTTCGGACGGCCCTGGAACCCCGAACCTGGAACCTCGATTATCGAGGATCTGGGGTCCGTTCAAGATCCAAGAATCAGATCTTCGACCTTTGATGGGCCCTCGATCTTGGACCGTTGACCTTCGAACGTCCCTGAATCCTCGCTCCTCGACCGGTCTTGGCCCAGAGAACGCAAGGCCGCTCCCCAGCGGACTGCATGACCCGAAGTTGACTCCCAGGTGGCCCCCCAAGATGGCTCCAAGGCGACCCCGCAAACCGAATGGACGATCACCGCTTGGGGCCAGGCTCGGACGTGCTCGGAGGAGCGACAGCTCTGGAATCTGGCTTGTCTGGACAGCGCACAATTACAGGCACGTGAAATGTTTGACGGCAGAACTTGGCAGGAATGGAAAAATGGAAGGGATCCGTTGCGTCGGTACGTCGGTGCAGGCGCGAGTACGCGGAGGAAGTCTCGCGCGAAACCGCGAGTCTCTGGCGGCGTGGGATGCGGCAACTAATGCGTGCGACTGTGAGGAAGTCCCAGGCGAAGTCAACATTCTCTGGCGGCAGAAATACGGTCCACAAGCATGGTTGTGAGGACGTCTCAAGCGAAGCCGCTGTTCTCTGGTGGCTGGAAACGGGTTCAGAAAAATTTCTGGGAGGAAGTCCTAGGCGGAATCGAGACTCTCTGGTTGCAAAGATACATTCCCCGGTTGGTCGGGGAGGCAACCGGAGAGCATTTTAGGAGGAAGCGTTGGGCGGAATCGCGATTCTCCAACTTCTTTTTCTGATTTGGCAACTGTAATATTTAAAGGGGGCATGGGAGCACCGGAGAATCGCCCTGGCGGGTCTCCGCAACTTTGTACTGGGGCCCCGTGGCGTGATGGGGACGTTGCGAACCCTCTTTCGCGAACTCTGCGGTCCGCACTTTTTTTTATCCAGGGGGTTGATGGAGAGGTTGCAGCAGCAAAGGTTGCGTCATAGCGCGGCGCACGGCTACTCAGTGAAGCTCCTAAAGATCTCGCCCCCTCCCCACCCACCCCACCCCAAGAGGATTTTTGAAAGAAGCGTCGTCTCTGGCGCAGGCGTCTCCAGCCCCAGGGCGAGCTTGCAGCCCCCATCGGCCCCGACCGGGCCTCGCCAGGAAGCTTTGGGCCCCCCCCCGCAGCCCTCCCGGGGGCAGCACCACTGCTCTCGACACCCGGCCGGCGCGCTTCCAGTGTGGACGGCGCAAGCGGGGACAGCACCCGACGGACACGCCGTCCGAAGCGGACGGCGGCTGCTGTTGTGCAGACGACGCTCGCCGTCACGTGGCCGACGCGCGCCTCGGAGCTGGCGGCGAATCCAGTCCGAAACGGCAGAGGGGCGCTGTCGATCACCACCTCCGCACTTTCCGCCCATGGGGAGCAACGACACAGTCGGGGCTTTGACCCAAGGAACCCTACATAAGGAACGAGGCCCCACCGTTCCACAAATTGAACCTCGATGTCCCACCGAAGATCTACGAGAAACCTGAGGCAGACTGCGAAACAATCAGGGAGCACGGAGCCCCTCCCCGACGCAAAGGGTTTCCTTCTTCAGCGCCCCGACGGTAGGGTTATGTCGGGCGTGTCCCCCTACTGAGGGATTTTCGACGAAAAATAAAAGAGACCCAAAAAGTACTCCAAAAAGGCAAAAAAAATACTCCAAAAATAGTCCCTGGACTATTTTTAGAGTATTGTTTGACTATCTTTGGGGTATTTTTTATTTTTCGTCGAAAATCCCCCTGAAGGGGTCAGGCCCGACTTACCGGTAGGGGGGGGACCAGCTCGGGGGGGGGGGGCGTCGAGCTGGAATCGGCGACCCGACAGATCGGCGGCAGACCCTGATGGCGATGGGCGGGCGCGGGCCTTCTTTGTAGATGTAATGCCAGCGCCTTCTAAGAAGCAGCCTCCTTCTAAGAAGCCTTCCCCCCTCCCCCTACTCCCTTGTGCGCGCCGCCAAAGCTTATGCCCCTGCAGCTCCCGACCACTCCCCCGGGACGGACGTCTCCGTCCTGGACGGGATTCTGCTCGCGGCGGGCTGCCAGGCCGCCGGGCCCCCATCGACGACGAATAGGCGATTCGGGGTCGACGCAGTACTGGCCATCGCTCGGACGTCCATTCCCTGCGCTTTTTGTTCGGCTTCGCGCGTGGTGTTTTCGCAGGATGATCCAGGATGCTCCTTGGTAATCCCCGCCGAGAAAAAATGCACACGTCCGAGCGATACATAACGTTGCCTCTGGCCTCCAGGTCATAACGCCGCTCCCTGGCGACCGTTCGGGACAATCCGGGCACCCCCAGAGCGCTCTCGGCGAGGCGCAGCTGCTGGATCGTATCCCGCGGCTGGAACACCGCCGAGACCCAACGAGAACGCGGGAAAACCTCGAACAGCGAGCCCTTGCCCACCTGGCGCTGCCCTGTCCGTCCCCTCTTCGGCCCTCCGATGGTCCTCGGAATGTACGTTAAATAGCGCCCACGTGTGCCTGTCGACCGAAGCCCTTCGACACGACGCAGGCCGTGTAAACGAGGGCCGACGCGAAGCTTCGTGCTGCCGGCGGAGCCGAACGGGGCAAAACACACATCGAGCCCTGCATCGAGCCCTGCATCGAGCCCTGCACTCGCCATCGCTCAGACGTCCATTCCCCATGTATTTTTCGCGTCGTGCGCCTATCCTTTCCACAAGATGATTCGAGATGCTCCTCGAGGGTCCTGTCAAGTGTTGTGGATGCCACGACGATGGACACCCTAACAGTCCGACCATTGAATTTAACATGTGCTTAAAATGTGGACACCCTAACAGTCCGATCATTGAATTTAAATGTTCTAAACATTTGTTTTAACATGTTTTAAACATGTCAAACACATGTTTTAGACATCTGGAAATTATTTGACAACATGCTTCCTCTCCATTGATTGCCCTCCACGAGCCAAGTGCATCGAGCCCCGCATCGAGCCCCGAGGACCATCGAGCCCTGCAGGCTGCCGACGGCGGGCCACGAGCGGGGCCGGCCGCGCGCCGGGCCGACGCTGCCGCCTCGGGGTCCCACACGGCGAGGGCGCGCAGCAGCCTCTCGAGGGCCAGCGCCTGCAGAGCCCGCGGGCGCGCACGCGCGCGCGCGCCCCTCGCGGGCCCCCCCACGCAGCCAGCGGCGGGCGGCAGACGTGGACGACGGCGGCGGCGGCGGCGGCGGCGGCGGCGACGACGACGACGACGACGACGACGACGGCGACGACGACGACGACGGCGGCGGCGGCGACGGCGGCGGCGGCGGCGGCGACGACGACGACGACGAAGGCGACGACGACGACGACGACGACGACGACGACGACGACGACGACGACGACGACGGCGGCGGCGACGGCGACGACGGCGGCGGCGGCGGCGGCGACGAGGGGGCACCGAGGGCCGTTAGTGCCCACTGCAGCCGCCGCGCTACACGAGAGGGTGCACGGGCGAGGGTGCAGGGGCTGGCAGCGGCCGCCCCTGGGATCCGTCATTATCGTCATTATCGTCATTATCGTCATTATCGTCATCATTATCGTCATTATCGTCATCATTATCGTCATTATTGTCATTATTAGCAGCGGCCGCCCCTGGGAGCTGACGCTGCGGAAAAGTTGCAGCATCGCAAGCAATCGCGGCTGGGGCCCCAAACCCCATCCCTCTGCGGCACTTTTCGAGCCGGGCCGATCTGTGCTGGCCTCCGGGCCGGAGCCCAGGCGAAAGACAGGCTGCAGCATCCTGCAGGTGTGGACAAAAGTGAGGGGGTGGGTGCGGAGTGGGTCGCGGGTCGGTCGCGGATGTGTCGCGGCTGGGTCGCGGGGTGGGTCGCGGGTTGGGTCGCGGGTGGGTCGGGGGGTGTCGCGGTCACGACGACGATGACGACGACGACGACGACGACAACCATTTGAAGAATGTTCGCTCTTCGTGCTGGCGTGTCATTCAACATGTATGCTCCCGAGCCCTCGATACCCACCGTCTTCGTCTTCGATCGTAACCCCCTCTGAGGGGTAAATATTCCTTACCTGCCACGTGTAGTTGGTGCGGCCCCTACAATAGTAAGAGGAGGGAGAGAGGAAAAAGGGAAGCAGCGAGGAAGGCAGGAGGAAACGAGAAGGGAGGGGGGCAAGAGGGAGATGGGATAGTTGAAGACGAAAAATTAACGCACCAGGGGGGGGAGGAAGAAGAGAAACAAGAGGATTGGCGAGCGGACGCTAACGGGCGGGTCGGGCGGGCGGACCCTAAAAGGGCGGGTCGGGCGGGCGACCCTCACGGGCGGGTCGGGCGGGCGGACCCTAATGAGCGGGCCGGGCGGGCGGGCCATAGTGGTCGGGCGGGGCATTGAAGCGAACTTCGTAAGTCGTGCAGAAGCCTCAGGCGAGAGCACCACTCCTGAGCAAAAACTTGAGGACGTCGCATGCGAGAGCACGATTCCTAGACGTCGAGGTCGCAACGTCTGAACCTGATCGGACAAGAACGGGAAGCGCCGCTTCAGTCTAATAGGCGTATTGGGCGAAGAAGAAAAAAAGGAAGGCGAGGGCGACGAGGAGTCGATGACGAGGATGACGTGGAGAACGTGAGGATAGCGAGGAGGAGCATGAGGACAACGAGGAGGAGGAGGAGAAGCACAAGGACGAGGACGAAGAGAACGAGGGCGAGTACGAGGAGGAATGCGGAGGACGATGACGACGACGACGACGATGACGACGGAGGACAGTGAGAGGCAATTGGAGAAGGACGTTGAATCGGGAGAGGGTCCTGGTGATCCTATCGGGCTACTCTGGGGGCTCCTGGCGCCGCGCGGGGTTATCTTGGGGCCTGTTGGGGGCTTCTTGGGGGCCTTTTGGGTCCTATCGTGGGTTTTCTTGGGGTCTTCTTGGGCTGTCTGGGCGCGTCGTGGGGTTCTTTGGGGGCCTTCTTGGGCCGTCTCGACGCTATCTTGGGCCGTCTTGGGGCTATTTGGGCCGTTTGGGGGCCTCCTCAGGCGCTCAAGGGAGTCGCTTGGGGCCCTCTTGGCCCGTCTTGTGCCGTCTTGGGGTTATTGTGAGCTGTCCGGGAGCCTCCTGGAGCGCCATGGGGGGTCTCTTGTGGTCCTCTTAGTGCGCTCTTGGGACCCTCCTGGGCGTCTTTTGGGCCTTCTTTGGGCCGTTCGAAAGCCCTCCAGGATCGATTCCGAGACGATGCCGATTCGGAGTCCCTTCTGGGGCCGATTGTTTGAGGATGTCTCGAACGAAACGACCATTTTTCAGAAACCTGACCGGACAAGAACGGGAAGCGTCGCTGTTGCCTTCTAGGTGTGTGAAATGTGCGCCGCACAGGTCTGTCGTGGCGTGCGTGCGTTTGCGCGTGCGCGTGCGCGTGCGTGGAGTATGTGCATGTGCGTCCGTGCGAGGTGGTCCGCAGCACTGCTCTTTTATGCCGTGCTGGTCTACCGTGCTCCTGCGGTCTGCGTGAACGTATGTTGCCTGTGCGTGTGTGTGTGTGTGTGTGTGTGTGAGCGAAAGAGAGCGTGTGCGTGTATGTGCGTGTGCCTGTGGGCGTGTGCCTGTGTGTGCGGCTGTGTGCAGCTCTGTGCATGTGTGCGAGCGTGTGTGCAGGGTGTGTGCTGGGCGGGCGAGACGGGGCGGGGCGCGACGTGGCCGTTCGAATCGTAGCGGCGTGGTCGTTTGATCCGGGCGTGGCGGGCTGAACCGAGGTGTGGCCGTTTGAACCGAGCCTCGCCACACGTCGCGGCCGTTTGAACCAGGGCGCGAGGCATGATTGTTCGAATTGTAATGGCCTGGCGATCGACGGCCTTGAACCGAGACGAGGCGTGAACGTATCTTGCCTCTGTGTGCTCTCGAAGGGAGACCACACAGAGGCAAGGTAACAGGAGCACAGGAGCACAGCAGGCCGCAGCAGCCGGGAGACCAGCACGGGCAGACGACAGGAGCACAGCAGACCACAGCAGCACGGCAGACCAGCACGGCAGACCAGCATGGAGGTGCTGGCCTGCACGCGCTGCGGGGCCTACATGCGGCTGGGCGGCCGCAGCGGGGGCAAGCCGAGGCTCAAGGAGCCCTGCCCAGGCAAGGCGCCCGACAAGAGCGGCCAGAACCAGCTGCGCCTCTGGGAGAGGGCCAGCACCCTGGAGGAGCCCCGCGCCTGCGTGGCAAGAGGGTGCCAGGAGCCGAGGCACCGCCGCTGCGGCAGCAGGGGTTGGTCCCCGAGGACGCGCAGGAGCGCTACCTCGCCTGGCTCGGCCTCCAGGGCGAGGGCGAGGCGGCGGCAGCTCCGGCAGGCGCCGCGACGAGCGCTGCGGCGAGCTCGGGCGCCCCGAGCGGGCCGGGCGCTGCCGCGCCAGGGCCGGGCAAACCAGAGGGGCAGGAGGCCCCTCAGCCCCGGGCTTGCCGGCACCCCAGGAGGCGCCACCGGCCCAGGCCCTCGAGGCCTCCGCCGACGGGCCTGCGGCCTCTGCGGCCCCCGCCCAGGGAGGCCGCGCTGGCTTCCTCGCGGCGAGCGGCCTCGACGAGGCCCAAGTTGGCGGAGTGGGGCGGAGGCAGCGGCCAGCGGGCAGGAGCGCCGCCGAGTCCGCCGCCGCCTGCAGAGCCGCGGAGGGTGGTAGGAGGACAGCGACTGACAGGGTGATCCTCTGCATGGTTTTGGCCCGGCCGAGCTCTCACGCCCTGCATGTTTCTGGTCTCGCAGACGTCATGCTTTTGTGTTGTTTCGCTCGCGGGTTTTGAGGTCGTCTTGGGATGCAGCTCGCCTTCGTCATGGTCGAGGGGCCCGCCCAGCGAGCGAGGTTTCAGAGGAGGCGAGGCCCAGGCAGGTGGGCGTCGGCCAATGTGGAGCCTCTCGGCCTGCTGGGCCCCTGGACCCCCTGGTGGCCCCTCCGCGGGTTTGGAAGAGAGAACCTCCTCCCCCCTTTTTTGTCCTCAACTTTATGGCCAGCTTCAGGAGGAGGAGGAGGAGGAGGAGGCGGCAGAGCTTCAGCTTCAGCACGGCAGACCAGCACGACAGGAGCAGCACGGCACACGGCAGGAGCACAGCCGACCACAGCAGCAAGGCGGACCGGCACGGCGGACCAGCACGGCAGACCGGCACATCAATTCGGCGCCGGGCAGACAAACAAGGCAGACCACAGGAGCATAGCAGATCACAGCCGCACGGCAGACCAGCACGGCAGACCAGAAGAACATAGCAGGCCACAAGAGCACGGCAGACCAGCACGGCAGACCAGCACGGCAGACCAGCACAGCAGACAACAGGAAGATTGCAGACCACAGCAGCACGGCAGACCAGCACGGCAGACCAGCACGGCAGACCAGGACAGCAGACCAGCACAACAAATCAACACCGATTTTGTCAATTCGGCGCCAGGCTTACCAGCATGACAGACCACAGAAAAATAGGAGACGACAACAGCACGGCAGACCAGCAAGGCAAACCAGCACGGCAGACCAGCACGGCGGACCACAGAAGAATAGCAGACCACAGCAAGCCGGCAGATCAGCATGGCACCCCACAGGAGCACGGCAGACCAGCACGGCAGACCAGCGCTGGAGGCGGTCAGGAGGGACTGCTGTTCGGTGCGACTGAGGCGGTGTGCTCAGCGAGTGAGGCAGCTCGGGGAGGCGGCCGCGGAGGATTTCGCTCACTGCTGGCTGCCTGCCCCCATGCTTCGCCTGCCTGGTCTGGGCAGTGGTATGGAGATTCGCTGGTTTCGCAAACCTGGCGATGGATTTCTGCGTGGGCGGTTGTTCCTGGACAGGTCCGCGCTCGAGCCGACGTATGCAGCGACCCGCCGAGCTGGATGGGCGATATGTCAGGTCAGTGAGGACAGCACCATGGGAGCAGCCTGCTACGGCACCGTGAGGGCTGACCTGTGCCCGCAGCAGACGGCCAAGAATGCCGAGGACTTCGCCTGCTGGATGCTGACTGCGGTCGCGGGGTCAGGGCGGCACATCCTGCACGTCGATTGCGAATATACGGTCTCTTGCTTGAGGCGAGGGCGCCAGTATGCCACTGGCATTGGCCGACCAGGCGCCCACCTCTGGAGCAGGTTCTTCGCTGTTTTCGGGCCCGAGGACTACGAGTTTCGCAATGTGCCAGCTCATCTGACGTGGGCGCAGGTGCAAGGGGGTCGTGTCTCCGAGCAGGAGTGGCGTGGCAACAGGTCTGCGGACATCTACGCCAAGCTCGGGGCCTCGCTACATGCAGTCCCGCAGGAGGTGCTGGTTCACTTCAAGGCTTTCGCGCTGATCGTGACGGAGCTGGCGCGGTGGATAGCCCAGGTGTCCATCCTGATGCAGCAGGGCGGCCTACGCGACGCGCAGGGCTTGCCTGAGGGGCTGGAGAGGAGGCGGCCTGTGGTGACGTTCGCCGACGACCGAGCTTCCACCCTGCTGAGGCGGTGGCCCCAGGTGCGGCACCCAAGCATGACCGTTCCATGGCGTCAGCGGCGGCGGGCCTCGGCTTGGGTCCGGGGCCGCTCGTCGTGCTGGGCCACTGCTTGCGCTACGCTCTGGCCGACGGCGCGGACGAGGAGCCCACGGAGCGCCTGATCAGCTGCAGCCGCTGCGGTGCCTACGCGGACATCGACGGGGGCAGAGGGCCCAAGCTGCATGCAGAACCCCCAGGCTGCCCTCCCGAAGGGCCCAAGGGCAAGGGCGGTCGTGACCAGCTCAGCCTTTGGGATCGGGGGCTGCACCCAGGCGGCCGCAGAGGAAAGAAGAAGGCAGTCAGGACGCTGCGCCAGATGGACGTCACCAGTGCGCTGAGGGGTGGCATCCTGGCCTGGTTCGGCGTGCTGCCAGCGGAGGCGGCGCCCGCAGCGGCCGACGGGCCCGCTGGCCGCGAGGGGGGCGGGGGAGGGACGGCCACCTCCCGCGCGTCGAGCTCGTCACCAGCGGGTGGGCTGCGGGCGGCCGCCGCCCCAGTGCGCCGTCCAGCGGCGGCCGCGGCTCCCATCGGGACGGCCGAGGCCGCCATCAGCCGCCCAGAGGCCATGCAGGCGTTCGGCCTGGACGAGAGCGGCCTGGCCGACTGGGAGGAGGCCGTGGCGGCGGAGGAGCACAAGCGGAGGCGCCTCGCGGGCCGGCGGTTGGCCGCCCGTGCGAGGACTTCGCGCTGCCTGCCTGTCGAGGCGGCACCACTTCCAGCGGGCCTCCGCAGAACCAAAAGGTCTTGCGAGGCGCTGGCGCGCTCCTTCCGCCCCCCCAGGCGTGTGGCCCCGTGGGACTCCGCTGGGCCCCCTGGGTGGGTAGGGCCTGGAGGGCCCTGGGGTGTAGCCCAAGATGGCCTGCCCCTGTTTTTTGTTGTTGTTTTTTCTCTCTCCCTCTCTATCTCTCTATGTCTCTCTCTTTCTCTGGCTTTAAGCCCCCAAAGCTTCAGCTTCAGCACGGCAGACCAGAACAGCAGACCCGCACGGCAGACCAGCACAACACACCGACACGGCAGACCAGCACGGCAGTCTGGCACGGCAGACCAGCACGGCAGACCAGCACGGAAGCCCATAGGAACATAGCAGACCAGATCATGTTATTGACGCTGCTGTTGTTGGTGATGAACATGTTGCTGCTGATGGTGATGGTGATGCGTACGATGATGATAATGATGATGATGATGATGATGATGATGATGATGATGATGATGAGGATGATGATGATGATGATGAGTATGAGTATGAGTATTGTGATGATGATGGTGATGATGATAATGATGATTACGATGACGATGGCGATGAGGATGACGATGATGATACGAATGATGATTATACTTATGGTGATGGTGGCGATGGTGATGATGATGCTGATGGTGTGGATGATGATGACGATGATGATCGTGGTCCTGGGCATGCGTATGATGATGATGATGATGATGATGATGATGATGATGATAATGATGATGATGATGATGATGATGATGATGATGATGATGATGATGATGATGATGACTTCTCGGGGTGTGCTTGGGAGATGTTGGGGTCCTCTGGAGAGCCTTTGGACTAGCAGTTTAAATCTGCGTAGCCGTTGTAACCCGACTCTCGTTTTTTCATCGGTCTGACCGGTTTATCAGCTTACACGGCACAGCGCAGCAACACGACAGACGGCAGCAGCACGGCAGACCAGGAAGGCAGACCACAGGAGCACGGCGGACCAAAACGGCAGACCAGAACGGCAGACCGCAGGAGCACGGCAGACCAGCACAGCTGACCACAGGAGAACGGCAGACCAGCACAGCGCTGTTGCAACAGACGGTGCTGATACACTCTTAATCTATTGAACACGTCCCCAGCGAAATCCTCATGTTCGGCCGTATTGAGGGCACTCTGCGGGTCATCTTTGGGCCGATTCTGTTTTTGGGGGGCCGTACTGATGCCCTCAAAAACGATTCCAAGACGACGTTAGACTCATTGTTTGTTTGATGATTGTTCGGCCGTCTTGAGGGCACTCTTAGGGCATAGTCTGCCGTGCTCCTCGTCTTGGTCTGCCGTGCTCCTCGTCCTGGTCCTCCTTTCCGTCGTCTTGAGGGCGCTCTTGGGGCCTGGTCTGCCGTGCTCCTCGTCTGGTCTGCCGTGCTCCTCTCGGTTTCAAGATGATGTTGCGAACATCTCACTTTTGTGAGGATGTCTGAAGCGAAATGCTCATTTCTGAAATCCGCCAACGAAAACTCCCGTGCGATCCGCCACCCCATGTTTCGCGGCGCGCGCGCGGAACTTCGATAAGGAACCCTTGGATAAGAAACCCAGGGTCTGAAAGCCAGTGGAGCGCAGGTTTGGCCAGGGATACCACCGCAGCCCTCATCAAATAAAGAATCCTCTCACGGATCTTCTGACCTGATTCAATCCAGACCCGGGTCAGTCAGGCCTTGCAAGATCCGACAAAATCCTGCAAGGTTCTGCAGGATCCTGCTCCCAAGCCTGGGTCAATGCGACCCTGGCCCTGCTCGATCCTGCAAGCATTGAGTCGGGCGTGCCCCCAGGGGGATGTTGGATGAAAAATTAAAAATCGTCAAACAAATACCCTAAAATATTCAAAAACGGTAAAGGAAAATCGTCCCCAGACTATTTTTTAAACTATGTTTGAATATTCCTCCTGTAGAGGGACAGGCCCGACTTAATGCAAGCGACGGCGCTCTGACTGACCCCCGCTCGCATCGACCCCCGTCTCTTGAGCCCCGATCCTCCAAGGTCCGAAGCCTCCCGGGCACTTCCTTCGCGAACGCGCACACGCCGCACACTCGCCCCGACCCTCCGTCCGCGCCCAGCCCTCGGGCGACCAGGCTGCAGGGGCGCCGGCGGGGAAGGGCTGCCCAGCGAGAAATCGGCCGAGGGCGGGCCGAGAGGGGGCAGGGACAACACTTCCGAGCCCTCACACCGTTGAGGGGGAGTTTGCTCCCGCCCCCCGCCCCCCCGAAGTCAGTGCTGATTTTTTAGCATGGGTGATAGTTCTGGGATGCGGCAATCTTGTCCACCGAAGCCCCCTCCACTGCCGCACTTTCAGGATCAATTCGGGAGGTTTGTCCATGCACGGTCACCCTGACTCTGGATCCGCCGTACTTTGGCTGTTTTCTCGACTCAAAAGAATGTCAAAAATGCACCCCGACCGATGCGGGAAGTTGGGGCAGACTTTTCCGCCTAGGAGAAGGCGGCGGATACACCCCCAGGGCGAAAGTATGGTCCTCTTGGGCCTGGCCATAATAGCTTCAACTCTTGCACTGGCGCGCATGAAACAAACCATTGCGGATCCAATGAAGGTGGTGCGGGTCTGAATTTGGTCTGGATTTGTCTTGCGATGGATCCGACATCCGATTTCCGTCCGCGCGGATCCGATTTCAAATTTTGTGGGCCTGATTCCCGTCCTGCTTTTTCGTGCGGGTCCAACTGATACCGTGCTTTCAACTTTTACTACCAAAGTAAAACAGAGGACCCGAAGAAAACGGATCCGCGGCACCCGGGCCTCCCGCTGCTAAGAGTATACGGGGGAAGGGAGGTGTGGTTACGCACTGCCACACACAGGTCGCGCCTTGTCTCACGGACCCCACCAACCCTTGCCGCACGCTGGACGCACCCAACGTGAAGACATCTCTCCTCGCCCCCCCAGCTGCTGCGAGCAGCTTGTTCATGCGCCGTGCGTTTGGCGGCGCCGACGCTCTCTCGCCAGCCGCTCATCGCCGCTGGCGCCTCAAAAGAAAAACAGCTCGTCCTGCGTAAGCGTTTCCGTAAAAGCGTGGCGGACACAGCGACTGCAAAATAGGGCTGGAATCCACATCAGAGGACCTTGAAAAAAAGGCGGGCATTGCCGCCCTGCTTGCGAAATCGCCGAAAAAGTAAAGCGGAACCGGAGTCAGGGCAGCGTCACTGCGTGCCGTACACTGGCGGCGCGCACAAGGGGGCAGGGGGAGGGGGGAAGGCTTCTCAGAAGGAGGCTGCTTCTTACAAGGCGCCCGCCTTGCACATCCGTAGATAAGGCCCGCGCCTTCTGAGGAGCAGGGGTGCTTCTAAGAAGCCTTCCCCTCTCCCCCTTAACCCCCCTCTGCGCGTGGCTGAGTCACTGCGTGCCGTACAGGGTGCCAGCCGGCCAGGCCAACCGACCAGCCGACCTCCTCGACGGGCCTCTCTCCCAGCGACGCCTTCCTGCCTGCACGCCGCGCCTCGCCGGTGCTCGGCGGCGCCAGGCCCGGGAAGAAGGTGCGGGGCACGTCGTTGGCGATGGTGGTCAGCACCTTCCAGGACGGGGGAGGGAGGAGGAGGAGGAGGAGGAGGAGGAGGCGGAGGAGGAGGAGAAGGAGGAGGAGGAGGAGGAGAAGGAGGAGGAGGGAGGAGGAGGAGGAGGAGGAGGAGGAGGAGGAGGAGAGGAGGAGGAGAGGAGGAGGAGAAGGAGGAGGAGGAGGAGGGAGGAGGAGAAGGAGGAGGAGGAGGAGGAGGAGGGGCAAGAGTGTCTGCGGCCCCAGGGGCCGTGACCATGAGGGTGCTCCCCTGCAGTGGCTCGGGGCCCTGCGCCGTGGGACCCCGCTCGGGGCCTCCTGCTGCGTCGTCGCCCTGTCCCGCCTGGTCTTGCTCTGCACCGTTATTGGTCCGCCCTTCCCCTCTCCTCTCTCTCTCTCTCTCTCTCCTCTCTTCACACTCTCTCGCTGGGCACGGGAGCCTAGGAGGAGGAGGAGGAGGAGGAGGAGGAGGAGGAGGAGGAGGAGCACATTCGACAGAGCGTCCCGAGGGATCCCACATCTGGTCGCACGGCAGTCTGCATAGTAAGGCTACTCTGAGGGTGGAAATCTAAGCGGGTGGGTCGTCGCACAGATTCTCTCTTGACGCTTCTCCGTTACAATCGAAGGGGGGTCAGAGTTGGGTCAGAGTTCGACCACGGCCAGTGGTTCAAACACTTCCGATCAGATGCGGCATGGCGGAAACATCCACAACGACGGAAGACACTTCCAGAAAGCAGACCGAAGCCCTCGTCTTGAAAGCTCTCGAACCTCTAGGTTGGAAATCCCTGCTCGAGGCCAACTCTGGCATGCAGCGCCGCCGGCCGAGAGCCGGCGGGCAGCTCAGGGCATCCCCTGACTGGCGAGACTGCTTCCCGCCAAGCGATCCTTGTGACCTTACGTGCTCCTGTTCCTCCCCCTCCTCACGGTCGAGAACGTCTGCTTAGCGTCTCGCGGCGCGGCCCCGGCGACACGCTAGGTCTTGAAAGCGGATGGCGTGTGCGGAAACTCGTAATACGAGCCATAATAATAAGAAAAACAATTTTAATAATACGAGCGATAACAATGATACTTATAACAACAACAAAAAAGGCATGAGCGCCAGACGGGGATGATGAACATTGCCAGCTTTCCCACTGAGAGAAAGGGGCTCCACCATGCGAAGCGTCAGCCAAGGAGGAGGAGGAGGAGGAGGAGGAGGAGGAGGAGGAGGAGGAGGAGGAGGAGGAGGAGGGGGGCAGGCTTCTTAGAAGGAGGCTGATTCTTGGAAGGCGCGGGCTCTAGCTCTAGAGACGCGGCCCGTGCCTTCTGGGGAGCAGGGGAGCTTCTGAGAAGCCTCGCCCCCTCCCCCCTGCCCCCCTCCGCGCGCCGCCGACCCACAGACCCCTCCCGGGCTCCACCCGACCCGCTTGGCGAGGCGGATCCAGCCGTCGCGACGCGCAGCTTCCAGGAGGCACAGAAGGAGCCACAACGCTGGGGAGGGCCACCGCAGTCCCGACGGGCCCTCCTCCGATGGCCTTCGGGCGACAGCTCGGAGCTCGGGCGGCAAAACGGCACGACGCCGCCATCCCCCGGAACGCACCACGGGCCCTCACAGTATCGGACAACACTTCCGAACATCCACAGGAGGTCGCCGGTGTCTCGACGGGCCTCTCTCCGACCCTCCCCGCCAGGAAAAGGGGGGCCTCCTGGGGCAGAGAGCCCTCCCGGTCGGCGGCCGCGAGCAGCTCCTGGACGAAAGGGGGGAGGGGCCGCTCCTGCTCCCGCTCGACCTGCTGCTGCTGCTGCTGCTGCTGCTGCTGCTGCTGCTGCTGCTGCTGCTCCTCCTCCTCCTCCTCCTCCTCCTCCTCCTCCTCCTCCTCCTCCTCCTCCTCCTCCTCCTCCTCCTCCTCCTCCTCCTCCTCCTCCTCCTCCTCCTCCTCCTCCTGCTCCCCCTTCTCGTAATCCTTCTCGTCCTCTTCCATTCCCTTCCCTTATGAATAACTCCTCCCTGTCGCACACCGGGGCCGGTCGAAGGGCTGGCCCGGCGTTTCGCCTGAGACTGCCTTGCCCTTTTACGAACCTGAAGCTTAAAAACTGGCAAGAGCTTGACAGACGAATTGCGGGTCGCTTTCAAAATGTGGCTCTCGCTGTAGCGCCGCGGACATTCGTCTTAAGAAATTTGAAATTCATGGATTGAGGGCGGGTTGTTTTCAAAATGTGGCTCTCACGATAACACCGCGCACATTCGTTTTGAATATTTGTAAGAGTTTCACAAATTGAGTGCCGATCGTCTTCAAAATGGAATTCTCGCCATAACGCCGCGCACATTCGTTTTGAATGTTCGCAAGAGCTTCACGGATTGAGGGCGGGTCATTTTCAAAATGTGGTTCTCGCCTTAGCGCCGCGCCCATCCGCTGTAAACGAATTGCAAGAATTTCACGGAGTGGGGGCGGCTCATTTCCAACATGTGTCTCTCGCGTTAGCGCCACGCACATTCGCTTCAAACATTTGCAAGAGTTGTATGTGTTCTCATTGATGAAAAAACAGTCATGGCGTTTGGGAGCACTTCAGGACTCAGGGCGCTGCATGTATGTTGATTCGCGGCGTTCAAGTCCCAGGCATGGCGTTCTACACGATTCAAGGTCGTCAAGACGCAACAGTCTGGCTGACTCGTGGCGTTGAAATCCTGAGAATGGTGTTCTGGCATGCTTCAGGATTGTCACACGGTTGTGGGCACTTCTCTCCATGGAGTTAACCCTTGTAGGGGCTTGTGAAGAAAGAGCTTGGAGAGAGGGTCTATTCCAACATCATTGATGAGTCTTGGTTTACCCTGGTCCTCCTCCTCCTCCTCATCCTCCTCCTTCCCCCCCATCCCCCTCCTCCCCCCCTCTATTTGTCCTCCTCCTCCGCCTCTATCTCCTCCTCCTCCTCCTCCTCCTCCTCCTCATTATCATCATCCTCTATCTCCTCCTCCTCCTCCTTCTCCTCCTCCCCTACTCCTGCTCCTGCTCCTGCTCCTGCTCCTCCCCCTCCTCCTCTTCCTCCTCCTCCTCCTTCTTCTCCTCCTCCATTCTTTGTCCTTATAAATAACTTCTCCCTGTCGAACCTCGAGGCCGGTCAAAAGGGCGAGCAGGGCGTTTCGCCTGAGACTTCTTCACCATTCATGACCCTGAAGCTTCAAAAGTGCCAACAGCTTCACACATGGAGGGCGGGCGGTTTTCAAAATGTGGCTATCGCCATAGCGCCGCACACATTCGTTTTCAACATTCGCAAGAATTTAACGGATTGTGACGGGCGTTGTTCCAAACGTGGCTCTCCACTTAGCGCCGCGCGCATTCGTCAAACACATTGCAAGAGTTGCACGGGTTGAGAGCGGCTCGTTTTCGAAATGTGGCTCTCGCCTGAGCGCCGCGCACACTCTTCTTCAAGATTTGTGTAAGAGCTTCACGGATTGAGTGGGGTTCGTTTTCAAAATGTGGTTCTCGCCTTTGCGCCGCGCGCATTCGCGTTAAACGTTTGCAGCAGTTTGACGGATTCCCATGGTCAGCGTACGTTGATTCGCGGTGCTGAAGTCTCAAGAATGGCGTTCTGGGGCGACTCAGGATCGTCAAGACGCAAGAGTCAGGTTGATCCGTGACGTTGGAATCCCAAGAATGGTGTTTTAGCATGCTTCAGGGTCTTCAAACAGTTCCCTCAGTGGAATTAACCCTTGTACGGGCCTGTGAAGAGGGAACTCGGAGAGAGGGTTCATTCTAACATCGTTGATGAGCCTTGGGCTCACACTGGTCCTCTTTCTCCTCCTCCTCCTCCTCCTCCTTCTCCTCCTCTTCCCCCTCCCCCTCCCCCTCCCCCCCCCTCCCCCTCCCCCTCCCCTCCTCCTCCTCCCTCCTCCTCCTCCTCCTCCTCCTCCTCCTCCTCCTCCTCCTCCTCCTCCTCCTCCTCCTCCTCTCCTCTTCCTCAGAAGTAGGTCCTCCCTGTCGCCCCCCAGACTTCTCGTCGAAATGGGCGGAGCGCTGCGCCCGAGACGTCCGCACCACGATGCGTCCTGAAGCTTGCGCGTTGCAGCAAGTTCACGGATGGCGGGCGGGCGGTGTTCAAAATGCGGCGCTCGCCGCGCCGCGCAGCTTCACCAGAAAAGCCCCACCAGCCCTCTTGGGCGTGAGTGGTTCAGCGCGTCTTCCTTCCTGCCTTCCCTTCTTCCCCCTTCGGGGAGGGGTTTGCCCCTCCCCCACACCCCATACACCCTCCCCCTGGACCTGGACGGGGCGCCCCGCGACCCGTTGGAGCGTGAAAAGATGGCCCATGATGGCTCCAAGAACGCCTCAGAGAGCCCAAGGTGAACTCCAATACGGCTCAATATGGCTCAAGATTGCCCAAGATGGCCTCCAAGATGCTCCTAGAGGCTCCAAGACCGCCTCAAGACGGCTCCAAGTGGCCCCGGAGCACCCTCCAGAGAGCCCCCAAGAGTCCCCCCAAAACCATGAGGAAAATCAATATTGTTTGCTTTCTCGCCTTTTCGCTTCCGATGACCTTCCGAAGCCTCAAGACGGCTCCAAGATGGCCCAAGAGGGTACCAAGAGAGGCCCAAGAGGGCCCCCAAACGGCCCCAAGAGCGCCCACGAGCGTTCCAAGAGCGCTCCAAGAGGGCCCGAGGAGGGGATTTCAGAGGCTCTAGAGGGGCGCCGCTACTTGAGGATCCCTCTTCTTTGATCCATGTAGCTCCCAAGGGAGCCCCAAGAGGACCCCTAAGAGGTGCCTAGGCGGCCCCGAGAGGCCTCAAGAGGCACCCCTCAACGGCCCCCAAGACGCCCCAAGGGGCCCCCGAGACCGCCAAGAGGCTTCCAAGACGGCCTCAGAGGCCTCCAAGGAAGCCCCCGGGCATCCAAGAGGCCTTTGGCCTTCTGATCGCCCTCCTCCTCCTCCTCCTCCTCCTCCTCCTCCTCCTCTTCCTCTAGCTTCTCATCAGCCTATGCCTTCTCTTTCTATTTCCTACTCCTCCTCCATTTACTGCTCCGTCCTCCCCCTCATTCGACAGATAACGGCTGTCCCCTATCTTGCTCATACACTTCCCTGGTCACCTCAACTCTCCTGGGAATAGTTTCTGGATGGGCTGGTGGGGACACGAGAAGCGTCAACACTATGCAGCGGGTTCACGGCTGCCTGGCGGGTCGTCTTTAAAGTGTGGCTCTCGCAGTAGCACCGCGCAGAGAAGTCTGAAAGTTTTGGGCAGCTTCGTGGATGGAGGGCGGTTCATGTTCAATATGTGGCTCTAGCCTTAGCGCCGCGCACCGTCGTCTTAAAGTTCACAGCAGTTTCAAGGGTTCGCATGGCTGAAGCCCCAGGAATGGTGCTCTGGCACGACTTTCGGGTTGTCAGGTCGCAGCAGTCACGTTGGTTCGCTGTGTTGAAGTCCCCGGAACGGAGCTCTGACACGGTTTAAGATTGTCAGGACGTGACAATCACATTGATATGTGGCGTGGAAGTCGCAAGAATGGCATATTGGCACGATTGGGGGTTCTCAAACAGTTGTCCTCTATTGTTGTCGGAGCCCATGAGGAAGGAGCTTGGAGAGATGGTTTATTGCAACATCGTGATGCATCTTGGATTTACACTGGTCCTCTTCCTGCTCCTCGTCCTCCTCGTTGTCCTCCTTCTCGTCCTACTCGTTTTTCGTCCGCCACGTCTTCTCCTTCCTCCCGCCTCCGTCCTCCCTCCTCCTACTCCCCCCCTCTCAGGCGCAGCTTTCCTCCTTCTCGTCCTCGGCGTCAGGGAGAGAGGCGAGGGGACCAGGGAAGCAAGAGGGGGCCCAGACCCCCGGCGTCATGATTTTTTCATGACGTCGACCCCCCGAGGTCTCGACCCATTCCCCGGGACCGGTTTTTCGTCCCGAGTCGTTTTTTGACGCTCCCGAGGGCCGGTGAGGGCCCCCAGAGGCCGAAAATTAGGAACAAAAACCGTCGTGATTTTCTCATAGCTCGAGGGGGTCTGGGGGCGGGGGACGGTCACGACGACGACGACGTGATTTTTGCACGACCCCCCTCTTAGGCGCAGTCCTCCTCCTCCTCGTCCTCGGCGTCAGGGAGGAGAGGCGAGGGGACCAGGGAAGCAGGAGGGGGCGGGGGACGGTCACGACGACGACGACGACGACGACGACGACGACGACGACGACGACGACGACGCATCCTTGTACGACCGCTGCTCTGGGCTCAGGGCGAGCCGCCGCGCCCCGCTGCTGGTGGCCCACGCCGGCAGGCGCGGGATCGAGCGCGAGGCCGCGTCCTCCCAGGGGGGGGGCGCTCGCCGACGATAGGCGCACGCGCCGGCCGGCAGGGGTGGGGAGACCAGAAGGCCCAGACCCCCTCGAGCTATGAGAAAATCACGACGGGTTGTTTTTTTCCGGATTTTCGGCCTCTGGGGGCCCTCACCGGCCCTCGGGAGCGTCAAAAAACGACTCGGGACGAAAAACCGGTCCTGGGGAATGGGTCGAGACCTCGGGGGTCGACGTCATGGAAAGATCATGACGTCGGGGGTCTGGGGGTACCGATACCGCTACTCCGCGGACCTCTCCCGAGGTGCGTTCTGACCAGGACTTCAGGGCGAATCCAGCGGTGGCAACAAGGGCCTCCGAGGAGGCGCCAAAAGGGGAAAAGGGGCGAGGGGGCAAAGGTATGGGTACCTTTTCCTCCTCCGAAGGGGAAGCACGTGCCCAGGGCCCCGGTGCAGGACGCAGAGCGGGCGCCGGAGCTGAGGCCGAAGCTGAGGCCCGCCCCAGAGCCGGACCCGGAGTCCGAGCCGGAGAAGCCGGAACCCCCTTCTGCGAACAAGTCGCGCGAGCCCGGGCCTGCCGCGAGAAATCCGCAAGAATCCGGGCCCCCCGCAAAAAAAAATCGCGAGAAGCCATCTCCGCCGATCTGACTCTTCGATCTCGCTGCTGCTCCTCGAACTCGGCCTCCAGAAATGTAGGGGACGGATCCGGGACGAGAAACAAGACACCGGGAAGCGGTCGGGACCTCGAGCAGACTGAAAACCTCAGATCGGCGGATGTCAGGGTGCGCGCGCGCAGGCAACCTGTTGTTCCCTCTTGGCGCTATGAGGGTCACGAGCGCGCGCACTGCGGCGGGGTGCGCACTATCAGTTGCATCAACACATGTGGCAGTCGCGCTCGAGCCCGGCTGCGTGGCCCCGGGTGGGGGGCGGGCTCGGCGAGGCGAGCAGCGCAGCGCGGAGAGGGGGGACGAAAAAGTAAAGCACGCACAACGCGCGCACACACACAGACACACACACACACAGACACAGACACAGACACAGACACAGACACACACACACAGACACAGACACAGACACAGACACAGACACAGACACAGACACAGACACAGACACAGACACAGACACAGACACAGACACAGACACAGACACACACACACACACACACACACACACACACACACACACGCGCACAGCCCCAGCATCCCGAACAAAAACACCAAACGCGATTTGTGCCCCCCACCAGCCCCGCCTCTGTGCCACATCCAGGTGGACTGGACCACTTCACGGCGAATTTGATCAGAGAATGGATGGATTCGGTTTGTGTTCGGGATTCGGTTTTCTGCTACGTATGGAGCCAACGGGACCAGGCGGACAGCGACGACGACGACGACGACGAGGGCGACGAGGACGAGGGGGAGGAGGAAGAAAACGACGACGAGGGGGCGGAGGGACAGCACCCCCATCCGTCCTATCGGCCCAAGCCGAGAGCAAGGGCAGAAGAAAGGAACGCATCGGAGTCACATTCGAACCATATTGACACAATGTTGGGGTCGTCAACTAGGGTTTCAAAGGGGTCATCTTGGGGTAATCTCGAAGTCGTCTTGGGCTCATGGGGTCGTCCCGGGGCCACCTAACATCGGGGTCACGCGGTAGCCTGAGTTCAGTCGGAAGACAATGGGTTCGTCCCGGTGTTCTTCTGGGGCCGCAGGGTCGCTCTGGGGTCATATTGGAGCCGTTGCTTAGCTAGGGTGGGCATCTTGGGGCGACAGGGGTAATATCATGATCCTTTCAAAACCCTGTTGGGTCCATCTCGGAATCATCTTTCCGTTGCTGCCTATTTCGTTGCTGTTGCTACTGATGTTGCTGTTGTTGCTGGCGTCACCTGGGCTGCCCGTGGTGCTGGTGCTGGTGCTGTGTAAAGTTTCGGGCCCTCTTGGAGCCATCTTGGGGGCCTCCTGGGCCTCTTGGGGCCCTGCGGGAGCCCTCTGACGGCCCTTGAGAGGCTTCCGAGAGGGCCAAGAATTCAACACACATTTAACACAAACCGCCTCCTTCTTGGAGAGCGTCTTGTTAAATTTGTGTTGAAAAATTGGGTCCTCTTGGAGCCATCTTGGGGCCCTCGCCCTCTTGGAGCCCTCTGAGGGCCCTAAGAGGCCTCCAAGAGGGCCAATATTTCAACGCACGTGAAAGACAAACCGCTTCTTTATTGGAGAGCGTATCGTGTCAAGTTTGTGTTAAATTCCGGGCCCTCTGAGAAAACCCCAATAAAGGCCCAAGAGAGACTCAAGAAGGCCCCAAGAGAGGGCTTTTTTAGCTTCATCGCGGGGGGGTCGCCATGTATCCGCTCTTTGTACAACTGCTTCCTCTTGCGGGGCTCGGCTTGAGGTTCGGGGGGCCTTCAGGAGGGTTCCAGCCTGAGGTATCCAAAGACTTCGCGTGAGCTTCGAGTGCGATTGCGCTGCTCCAAAACGGCTCCGAGACGGCCCCAGAGCGCTCCAAGACGCTCGCAATGGCTTCAAGACGGCCAAAGAAACCTTGCAGACGCCCCTGGGGGGCTCCAAGAGGACCCCCCAAGGGGCCTCAAGAGGCCCAAACCACAATTGTTCAATTGTTTTTGAAGGATTTTAGTGTTCTCGCGGTTCCAACGTTCCAAGGAAGCCCAAGAGGCCACCAGGATCGGCCCAAGACGGCCCAAGAGGCCCCCGAAGAGGGCCCCAAGACGACCCACGAGGGCACCAAGACGACCCATGAGGCCCATAATGCGGCCCAGGAGGCCCCCAGGACGGCCCCAATAGGGGACCCAGGGGGCCACCGGAACTCAGTTTGTGAGATTTTGTCCATCAGGATCGCCTTTTGTGAAGCGGCGTGGGGGCATGCGGAGAGCCTTCGCAAGTAGACGCGGCGCCGGGGTCACCATGCATCCGAACATTCTACGAATTCGTAAATTTCTGAAACGATCGACGAGCCTCTGGGGAGCCCTTTTGGGGGCCTCTTGGGGGCCTGCGGAGCACGATCGCGACAGCGACGAAACCAACAATGACGACGACCCCGACAAGGAAGACGAGAAGGCAAAGGACGAGACGGCGGAGAAGTCTGGGGAGGAAGAGGAGGAGGCGGCGGAGGAGGACGACGAGCAAACGGGGGAGGAAAAGGAGTAACGCAAGAAACTGACCGAAACAAAAGATACAGAGGAGCACCAGAAAGACAGGACGACGAGGAGGAGCAGCAGCAGGAGAAGGACGAGGACGAGGGCAAGGGCCATGACGAAGACGAGGACCAGGACGAGCAGCAGTAGCAACTGCAGTAGAAAGCTTCGAACCTTCCAGAAACCCACCCAATCTGGTGTGATCAAGTCCAGAATGAGGGACAAACTCTTCCAGAACGACCCCTTCACTCTGGAAGTAGACCTCCAGTAGGGCGGACATCCCTGATTTGGACTTTTGGAACCTTCGGGGGGGAGGTGGGCTCAATCATCCCTAAGAGCTTCCCATGATACCCTGAAGGCGATCGAAGACTGGTCCTACTGTACGTTCTGCACACCAGAAACAAAATACGTTGCGTATGTTCCCTACCTAGGCTCTGCCTAGAAGGGTTCTCACTCTCTTTGCTTAAAGAGGCCGGGCAGTGGGCCCCGCCCCGGGCGGTTCCCCCAGGATCCGCCCCGCGGTTCCCCCAGTTGCGCCCCCTGGGTTCACCCAGCTTAGCTTCGCTAAGCTAAGCTTAGCTTAGATTAGCTTAGCTTAGCTTATATCATCTTAGCTTAGTTTGGCTTAGCTTCGCTAAGCCTAGCCTAGCCTAGCTTAGTTTAGCTTAGCTTAGCTTAGCTTAGCTTGGCTTAGCTTAGCTTATATCATCTTAGCTTAGCTTAGTTTAGCTTAGCTTAGCCTAGCTTGGCTTAGCTTAGCTTAGCCGAACCTAGCTTATTTTAGCTTAGCTTAACGTAGCTTAGCATAGCTTAGCTTACCTTAGCTTCGCTTAGCGCAGCGCAGCATAGCGCAGCGCAGAATCAGCACAGCATAGCATAGCATAGCGTAACCAAGCATAGCATAACATAGCATAGCATAGCTCAGCACAGCACAGCATATCATGGCATAGCATGGCGCAGCACAGCATAGCATAGCATTGCTTAACATAGCACAGCGCAGCATAGCATAGCATAGCACAGCACAGCATAGCATAGCATAGCGCAGCATAGCATTGCATTGCATAGCATAGCATATCATAGCATGGCGCAGCATTGCATATCATATCATAGCCTAGCATAGCATACCTATACGACCACCCTGCGGGTGATAAGGAGGTTGTGGGGGGGGTGGGGGCAACCATGATGAGCAACCATGATGAGCAACCGACAGGACAACGTGGGCTACCGCTTGACAAGGCCGGGGGGGAAAACATTTGTGTTGGCGGACCCCTAGCGACAGCAGAGTGAATTCCTCTCGCTGGCCCACGCAGCTTCGCCTCGCCCGCACGCACGGCACGAGCACGAACTCGAAACTCGATTTCCCGGTGGGGGGACTCCGTTACACTGCGATCTCACCCCCCGACCTCCGATCATAGCGCAGCATAGCATAGCATAGCATAGCATAGCATAGCATAGCATAGCATAGCATAGCGCAGCATATCATAGCATATCATATCATAGCGCAGCATAGCATAGCATAGCATAGCCGAGCATAGCACAGCGCAGCCGAGCGTACCCTAGCATAGCATAGCATGTAGATGTAGGTGTAGATGTGGATGTAGGTGTAGATGTAGACGTAGATGTAGGCGTATATGTAGGTGTAGATGTAGATGTGAGTCTCGCTGTTGATGTTGATGTAGATGTAGATGCAGGTGTAGATGTAAATGTAGCTGTCGGTGTAGATGTAGATGTTGCTTTCCTAAATGCTCCAACTCCTAGGTAGGGTCGCACTGGGATAATATTCTTTAGATATGCTGCTGCAACTCTTCGTGCTATGCGTCGCTGATTGACACATCATGTGCGCCACATCGGCACGCTCGAACGGCATCGCCTCATGTCTGCCCCAAAAACAGCCAGGCGAAGGACCCGCCCATATGCTGCGAATCACGCAGGGTATGACCCCCCTAGCTGCGAATTCCGCAGCTGCGAATCCCGCCGCCGCGGGAAGGATGAGGCACGGGAGATGCGGATGGGGCCTACGAAAGGCGTCAGGGGTGTGCCGAAGTGGGCTGCGGAACGCATGCGAGCGCTGCCACAAGAACCTTCGGTGGAGCTCCCTGTGGGGCCACGGAACGTGTGAGGGGTGTGCCGAATTGGGCTGGGGGGGGACGCATGCGGGCACTGCCTCAGGAGCCGTCGGCCACGAAACATGTGAGTGGTGTGCCGACATGGGCTGTTGGACGCATGCGAGCGCTGTCACAGAAGCCTTCGGCTGAACTCCCCGTGGGGCCACAGATCGTGCGAGGGTTGTGCCGAAATGTGCCAGGAGGCGCATGCGAGCGCTGCCACAGACTCCCTGTGCGGCCACGACACGTGTGAGGGAGGGCGCCGAAATGAGCTGGTGGACGCATGCGAGCGCTGCCGAAAGAGCCGGCGGTGGAGTACCGTGTGGTGCCATGAAACGTGAGGGGTGAGCCGAAGTGGGCTGGGGGACGCATGCGAGCGCTGCCACGGGAACCTTCGGCAGAGCTCCTTGTGGTGCTACGAAACGTGTGAGTGGTGTACCGAAGCAGATACATGCGGAGGGCAGAGGCAAGGGACGGGAGGAGGAGGAGGAGGAGGAGGAGGAGGAGGAGGGCGAGGAGGAGGAAGAGGTCGAGGAGGAGGAGGTCGAGGAGGAGGAGAGGAGGGACGCGGGGCAGGATGGTTGGTACTTTTAACCATTATCCGCCCCAATCAAAAAAAACACCACGTAAAGCGGCGAATCGGGAAAACGCTGGACCAACGAGGAACGCACGAACAAAACGAGGAGACGAAGCGTGAAAGCCCTTCCGGGCCCACGGTGCCCTCGGGACGCGCTGACCAAGGCCAGCGCAGGTCGCGAACCCAGGTCGGCCACATAGTAGCTCCCAGACCCTGGACAGCAGAGGGAGGGGGAGGGGGGGGGACGGCTTCACGTGGTTCCGCAGACTGGGGCAGCCAGATGGGATCAGAGAGGATCCGCTGAGCCCCGGTACGGTGGGGACCTATGCCAAGACTCACCCTGCTAGCCTCCAGGGTGCCCTGGGATTCCTGGGTTCCGAGGGTTTTGCGACGGAAGGCGTGACGTCCCCACACCAACAATCACTGGACGTCCTGGGGTCTCAGGGTTGGGTTTCTCGTGGAAGGTTTCTTGTGAACTGGCCTCCACTGTAGACTCCCATTACCTGCAACCCGCGAAGAACGGAGGATGGAACGCAGAAAGACATCTCGATGCTATGCGCCCCCCCTTGGAGGCCCACGTCCGATCCGAAGCTATAGGGTCCTGGGGGATGGGGTCCTGAGGATAGGGAGGGAGTCAAGCGTGGACTTACACTGACTGCATCAGGCACCTCGCCCTTGGGACCCCATCCCTCCGGACCCCATCTCTGAACCACCGAGAAGAGGAGGAGGAGGAGGAGGAGAAGCAGGAGGAGCAGGAGGAGGAGGAGGAGGAGCAGGAGGAGGAGGAGCAGGAGGAGGAGGAGGAGAAGCAGGAGGAGGAGGAGGAGGAGGGCCTCGCTCTGGGCGGCGGCCCTCTGCGGCCGCGCGACCGCGGCCAGCGCCGACTTCGAGCAGCACGACGAGCAGCCGCCGCCCATCGCCCCGGCCCCCTCCTGCGCGCGCGGCGGCGCGACCCCGGGCCGCCGAGAAGCCACGGACGGCGCGAGTTGCGTGGACCGCACCGCCTCGTCGCCAACCCCCAGGCCCAACTCCCAACCTTCCTCCCGCCCCCCCCCTCCTCGGCCTTCCTCCTCCTTCTTCCTTCTCCCTCTCCTCCTCCCCCTTCTCCTCTCCTTCTTCTTCGTATCATGGTGATAACTGTTAATACTATTTCAACTCTTCTCATTCGAATTGCAATGTGTAGTATTGCTGTTATTTGTAGTCATATCATTCGTAGTCGTCTTCGCACCTATAGTATTGTCATAACTATTAATGCTTATGTTATTCGACATAGTGGCTTCATTATTTTGAATAATGGTTAGTATTCGTGTTGTTCTGGTCACCGTGGCAATATCAATATTATCATCGTTATTCGCATTATCATCATTATTACTAGCATGACTATTACTGGTTTTTCGTCACTATTTTGTTATTATGTGTCGCGGTCATAGCATCTCTTGTTCATCCTCCTCCTTCTCCCCCTCCTCCTCCTCATCCTCCTCATCCTACCCCTCCTCCTCTCCCTCCTCTTCCACTCCTCCACACCATCATCACCATCAACATGGTAACCTTGATTATCGAGTTATAGACATGTGATGCTTACTTGTTCTAGATGGTACATGTGGTCGGACATGATGAACAGATACGACTTGTCATTCGAGTTGTGCATGATCGACATATGCAAATCTGAACTTGACCAAACGTAGGCAATGGACATGGCAGCGATAACTACGAAAGCCATTTACGATGCATCTCGTACTGTACTACATGCGCACAGGACCGCAATAATCAGATGCAAGCTCCCCTTGAATATCCGCTGCGCGTGCGTAAACAAAGAAGACACACTAGCAGAGACAACTGGGCTTGCGCAACCTACTTGACAAAGTTTTACCCGTGCGCCACAAAACTGAAACTCGAGTACAAACCAGAGTAGCACATGCGCACCCCCTGTAAACCCATAGAATATGTCCTCGTATAGGAAGACAATGCGCTATACTCTGGCATCAGCGCCTTACAACTGAGACTAGCCTCTACCAACACGCTCAACAAACAAGTATAAACAAGTATGCGTAAAGAAAGACGATTGGTGCACGAAACTGCGCAGCGAGACCGCCATGTCCCATGTGGGTGAGCACAATGAATTGTCCAACTATCCTCCTCTGGCTGTCTGGCCATCAACGCAGCGGCCCCGCGAACTACCAGGTCGAACATGATCCAACAGCGCAAGTCCTCTACAAAAGTCCAGTGCAATCAATTCTCATAGTGGGTGGTCGAAGTGGTTCAAACTCGCAGACGCTGGTCAGGAAGACAGCGCGCAGTTATCCGAAACACTCCCCCTTATTAGATGTATCAAAAGATGTGGGTTGAATGCGCACAATGCTCGGGTCGCTCTCACCTAGAGACGTCTGGCACCCCCATTTCCGCGGTCTGCGCAGTGCCAGATGCACTCTGCACCGAGAAAGAGCTGGGAAGCTTGACCTGTGCATGGTGCCTCCGCTCGAGGTGCGCGCGACGAGGCAGCTCGCTGAGCACCACGTCCCTCTTCAAGCTGCACGGCGGCGACGCGCCGCCCGGTCGGGCTGCGAGGCGGCACGTGGTCATCACGGGGACTGCGTCCGCTGCGAGCAGCGCGCGCGCGCCCGCCCGACGCGCGGGAAACGCCGCGTCGCCCGCAAAGCCCGCAACAATGCCGCGCCGAGATGCGCGTCTCCACTGAAAGCACGCGAAGCCCGACGCGAACAGCCGCGCGACTGCGTCCCGAGTGAGGGTCGGAAGCAGACACAGCGAAGACGAGCGCCTCCAAGGTCACGGCGGCTGACATAATTAACACAAGACACAGCGGCTGCGGATATCAGCAAAAAGCTTCGAGGAACACAAACTGCATACACATGAACTGCTGTTTGAGGTCCGCGCGGATTTCTTCGATCTGCGCTGGACCTCCCTCCCTGGCGCGCGGAGCGCGCCAGGGGCGGCGCCAGAGTCGCCGCCAGGAGGGCCCGGCGCAGATCCAAGAACTCCGCGCGGAGTTCCGACATCTTATGTTTATGCCTTTTTTCGAAAGCTGGTTAGCGCTCATGTCCTGGACCCTGGTGCCCTCCCTACGGACCAATTCTTCATCCTGAGTCGCTTTCTCACAGTCCCAGGGCCCGTGCGGGCCGCAGGAAGACGAACAGGATCCGTTTCCCTCAGGACCCGCTTCCCCCACGGCGACTAGCGCTCATCCCTACACCGCACCGCCACCGCAACTTGTCAGCGCCCCACGCCATCGAGACGCAAGCATCGCGCGTCGGCGAGGGCAGCGGCACGCGCGCAGACCTACCGCGAGGCGCGCGAGCGCACGCTCCTCCACAGCGGGTGCCAGCGTTTTTAAGGTGCCCTCTTTGCGTGGGCGTGCACGAGGCCAAATACGCACGGCACACAGCACTGCACTCGCACGGCACCGCGCACACGTCACGACCATGGCGCGTGTGCATCCGAGAGGCTCGCGAAAGAAACAGCGGGCACGGCGCGCACAACCGCGGATTCGCTAGCGGAATGCGCAACGCCCGTGCCACGCCCTCCGACTGCCCATCTCGGGTCGGACGAGAAGGTTTGCCGCTCGATGCAGACGCCTCTGCTCGCGCTCGTCTCGATCGGATCGAAGCGGGCAGCCCGCGAAAACGCGCCAGCTCAACCAGCAACACCACTAGCAACAACTCACGTGCATCCGGCGGCACCAGCGAGACTACCGCGTCGTCGACAATCACGGCCACTTCCTACGTGGACTCACATTCTGTTGGTTGCTGACCAGTCTGGCCATGGAGCGGGGCCGCAGGACAACCAGTCGGGCGCGGGGCTTTCGCCTTGCCAGGACATCCACGGACACGCACGATTTGATCGAGTGGTGTGTCGTGTACTTTAGCGCTGACCAGCGCTGTGGGTACCTGCAGCACGACGCTCAGCAAGGTCCTGGAGTGCGGCAATATGTTGGAACTGGCACTCCCACGGTATCCACCATGGCGGGGACGGCGCTGCGGCTTGCTCCCGCACTCTGGAGACGTGCGTTTCCGTGCTAATCGCCAAGGTGGAGCGGAGTGAGGCGTGGCAGCGCGGGGCCAGTCCCCCTCAAGGGACGAATCGTTGCCGCGAGGGCCAGACTGGCGAACTCGCGGCCCGGTGCGGGGACGCGGCGCTGCGCCAATGCTGCGCTGGGGGCCAAGAGCGGACCCTCCTCCCTCTTTTCCTCCTCGTCTTCCTCTCGGCTTGTCACTTGCCCTCTCCATCACGCTCAGCGCGCGTAGCTCGCTCTCCATAGCTTAGCTGGCGCCGAGGGGTGCTCTGGCGCCTGCTTGGCCAGAAGGGAAAGACTTTGCAGCAACAGCGCCCCCAACTCGAAATAATCGAATTCCTCCCATCCACCCCCCAGACGTAACATTCGCCAGTCTTGCGTTCGAGATGCTGGGTTCAAGATTTGTCTGGCCCCGCTTCTCCGGGAACGCCTGTCCAATAGTAAGGCGGAGGGGGAGAGGGGTCACACGAAGTGGTTCCCCAACGCTTGTTGTAAAAATGTGTTCAACGGGATCCCTGCAGAGTCAAGGAGCATGTCCTGTCTCCAGGGCGAGCGTCCAGGCGTGCAGGGAGCAGGGGGATGTTTCTAGCATGGGCGCACGCAAGTTCTGTCGTTATTCCGCTAGCGTTGCCAGCATGGTTGCACATCCATTCATCAGCCAAAGATGATTGACGGCGCCTCCTTGTCTTAGTCCGCTGACTATTTCTGCGTCTCCTGCGCCCCTGTAGCCCGCGGAGCCTGCGTGATTGCGCAGTCTAACTCTGAGGGGACATGCGTGCGAGCTGTGACTGCGACTTCAAGAAATAGCGAATGAGCACAACGTTACCCAGTCAAGACTGGTGCCACTGCAGCAGGCGGACCAGCGTGCAATGTCAGCAGCTTAGTGCTTGTGACATTGCAGGAACAGCGGAAAAACCTGCATCGGCACCACGCAGTCTTCTTAGGACGTCTTCGTGCTGCTGGCGGTTGACTTACCGATGGAGAAGATGTTGATGCCGAGCTTACCCTTCAGCTCCAATATCACCACCACCAGCCATCTGGCGACGATGGCGGCCACGGCACACGTGGACGCTGAAAAGGCCAGGTGCACCTCGAACTGTCTGGTCGGCAGCGCGTGCGAGATGCCCACCAGCGCCGCGAATATCAGCAGGGTCGGCTGGCACACGGGATACGCCATGTGCGCCATGGAGAACACTATCATCTGCGCCTTTGGAGTCCCGAGACGGTGCGGTGACGGACCGTGCGGTGGCCTCGAAATCCCCCCAGACCTCACCGCACGGTCCGTCACCGCACGATCTTGGGACCCCGGAGGCCCCTGTCGCCCGAGACGTCCTCGGAGAGGGACTCGAGTCCCAAAACCGTGCGGTGACCCCGAATCCCCACCGACTCACCGCACGGTGTGGTCACCGCCCTGTTTGGGGGCCCTCGAGCGCCGTGTAGTAGAAGAACAGGAGGCCGGAGAGCAGGGAGACGCTCCGCGGCGAGTACTCCAGCGTGTGCAGGGGCACGAGCAGCGACATGATGAATATCGCCGACGCCTCCCCTTCCACTCCCCTCCACACTCATCCGTCCTCCTCCTCCCCTCCTCCTCCTCCTCCTCCTCCTCCTCCTCCTCCTCCCCCGACCAATCAAGAGACTCCAAATCCTCCATCAGTCAACATTCACCCGCCTGGCGAACGACCAACTCATATGCAGCTGTGAGTCACGTAGTACCGTAGTCGTGGGTATCGTCTTCGGTGCAGCCCCCAGACGGGGCCACGAAGACTGTACATGGGCTGCCGAAGTGGCGTGGAAAAGGCATGCGGGCCCTGGCGCTGGGGCCTTAGGTCGAGGTCCCTTTGGGGCCACGACACGTGTGAGGGGTGCGCCGAAATTGTGTGGTGACCGCATGCGGGCCCTGTCACTGGAGCCTTAGGTGGAGCTCCCTCTGGAGACACGAAACGTGTGAGAGGTGCGCCGAGAAGGCATGCAGGCAATGGCACTGTGAAAAGGTGGGGCTCCCTCTGGGGCCACGAAGCGTGTGCGGGTGTACGGAAACGGTGACGGTGGTGGCAGGGAGGGTGATGAAGATGCTGCGGCTGATGATGATGGTGATGATGAAAATGATAACGGTGATAATGGCGATGGCGACGATGGTGATTATGGCGTTGATGATGATACGGGTGAAATGATGATGATAAATACGATGGTGCTGCCTGTCATCATGATGGAGCCGATGATGGTGGAGATGATACGGATGGTGGTGGTGATGATGATGACCGTGATGATTATGATGACGGTGATGACGGTGATGATGGTGATGGTGATGGTGATGGTGATGGTGATGGTGATGAAAATGATAATGATGATGTTAATGGCGATGATGACCACTACCCGACTAGGGAGGAGCTCCACGCAGTGAGTAATTGAAAGGGAGAGGTGATTTTTGGGGCTCCCGAGGGGAGTCAAAATTGAAGCTCACTCCTTGCATCGGCCACGCGGCGGGGACAGCTACGCAGTGAGTACTTTGGACCGCGGGACGGGCCGACAAAGAAAAGCGGGCCAGGCAGGGGACAAAAACGGGCAGGGGAGCGAGGAGCCGAGGAGCCGAGGGACGAGAGGCGGAGGGGGCGAGGGAGGGAAGACGACAGGAAAGGACAGACCGGGCCGACAGACGGAGGGACGGGAGGCGGGGGGGGGAGCCAAGGAGGGGGAGGGGAGAGAGAGAGAATGAGAGAGAAAAAAAAAAAAAGGAAGACAGAAGAGGGGGGGGAGGAGAAGGGAGAAGGGGAACCAAACGAGGGCCGGGGCCAAGGCAAGAAAGGATGCGGGCCGAGAGGTGCCTACGGGCGACAGCGCAAAGGGAAAAATGCCGGCGGAGGAAGGAGGGTAGGAAAACGATAGACCAAAGATCCCTCAGTCGATCTGGGCCACGGCCTCTTCCTGACGTCCCGCCTGCAGCAAGGTCGCCGCGCGGCTTACATGGTCAGCATGGGCTCCGACTTCCTGAGGGATCCTGGCCAGCAGAGTGCGTGCGTTCGCACGCATCAAAGTGATGCTAAGGCCAGAAAATAAGGAACTGGTGACACTGCTCACCGTCTCGCCACTGCGCGCTGCGCGGGCATGAATCAAGGCCCGGAACACGTCTTGCGCCATCTCGCCCCGTCCGCCGAAGGACTCCACGACAATTGGGACTAGGCGGATGCCAAGTTGCTCGCAGCGTACACCACTATCTCTGTCTGCAAGCTTCTCCCCCTCGTACGACGTGGCTGCGCTCAGCTGTCTGGCGGAGGGAGGTTCCGCATAAACCCTGCTGCAGCACCTTGTCGAACCAACATTTTTCGTCTGGCGTCGAGGGCTTCCCTGAGATGACGGTTGGACCGGCGGGACGGGTATATGCGACAATAATGATCACCGTCGTCGCCAAATCGAGGGCTAAGGTGTGAGACCAGAGAATCGTGTGCATTCGAAGACCATCGATGGGGGAAAATCGCACCTAGGGGGTCATTTCTCCAACTACCGGGGAGCTCGGGGGGCACGGACCCAAGGAACAGACATAGACGAAACCAGGAAAAATAGTGCAGCAACGAGTCCCAGCCGACAGTCTGACACCCCCAAACGCAGTTACAAGCTCCATGGGGCCAACGTCTAGAATTGGGTCAAGCATTAAACAACACCTTAACCATCGCAGTCAGGCACACGTGGGGTGAGCCTTTTTTTCTGGAGCCCCAATCGAAGGAAACAAAGATAAACGGCTCAGTGCTAAAAAACGTCTCATCAATATGAATTTCATCACCAAGGAGGTGAATAGGTGGAAGGGTAGGCACACGAAGTAGGATGGGTTAGCAAGCGCGACTCTGCAACTGCTGTGGAGCAACATCACGAAGGACACCAAGGAGAGAACAATACCAACCACGAGCACCCACAAGGGCCTGGAGGATCGAGTCACGGTGGCCGGTGTCATGGAGGCAGTCGAAGGTCACTTCGTTTGAGTGTTAGAGATCTTCCAACCAACGCTGCTGGTCATCGGGAACGCCAGGAAGTAGTGCTGTACGCACCTGGGCCGGCCCTGGACCCACCGCAAGAGACCTGGGCTTGACATCGGAGCGCAGCGAATCCAAATTTTTCAACACCGAACATCGGGGAACGATATGATGATGACGATGATGATGGTGGTGAAGCCAGTGGTGATGACCGTGATGATGACGGTGGTGATGATCCACACGTCTAGAAAGGTCAGGAGCTTCCAGCTTATGCTGCCTCTCAGACCGAGGCGTTTCTCTTTGGTCCTGCAGCGGCAACGCACGGTCTCGTGCCCAAGGCGACCTCGCAGATTCACCCGAATGCCGAGCAACCATCCACCGCCATGGCCGAAGCAAGCGGTAGACGCGGCTGCCGAGCATCCACGGCGACTCAGCCCGCGACAGAACACACGCGCGCCAAAGCAGAGCAACACAGTCCCAATGGCTCGCGGCCAACCGATGGACACCTTGCTCTGCGATGGCGTTCGGAAGCGAAACAGCGCGTCGGCGTCGACGCTTACCCTCTCGATTCAGCCTCCGCCTTGGCACAAGGTCAGTGCAACAACAAGCGGGCAGGCGCGCGGCAAAGCTGCAGCGCGAGGCGTGCACTGTCCGAGCAAAAGCTAGCAGCGCACATCGGCAGAGCAACACGGTCCCTTTTGGTTTCTGGCCACTCACGCGGACATCGTGGCGCCGCCGGTGCTTGCGGAGCGCGATCCAGAGCGTCGGTGCAACCGCCTGCGCACTCGGCGCGCGCTCCGCTGCCCTGCCCCGAACGACGCTGACAGAGCGGCGAGCGCTGCCGCGAACGCGCCAGCGCAGCTACATTAAGCAGAGTGCATGCCACGGCTGGATCCTGCCCACACCAGGCAGACGGCGGCGCGCATAATGCACGTCCTGCGACGCGCGGAATACGGAAGCCAAAGCTGAGCAGCACATTCCCTTCGCCCCGATGCCACGCACTGGACGTCGTTGTTCTGCGATGGCGCGGAGACCGATCCAGAGCGCCGGTAGCAAACCACCGACGCCCACGGTTCAGCCTCCCAGAGCGGAGGCTTGCAGCGCGCACCAGGCGACAGGCGAGACGAGAGCGCCGAGCACCCGTGCGTCGGCGAGCCAACACACCAGGCTTGGTTTAAGCTCAACGCCGGAGGAGCTGGGCGTGGCAGACAGATTGCAGCATGCACCGAGCCAATGCCATGCACGCTGGGAGAACGGCAAGCGATGCACCTCCTCGTACCACAGGCAACTGGCCACACACTGGACTAGTTGCTTTGCCGCAGATATCGGAGTCCAATCCCGCGTGCGAGCAGATGCCTATGCCTGCACACTTGGTTCGGCTTCCGCTCAGAAGCGCAGCCTCCGACGCAGAGGCACCGTCGAGGCGCGCAGACAGATTGCATCGCGCACCGAGCGGAGGCCATGAACGCTGAACGAGAGCAGCGCGCAATACACCTAGCCAGAAGCGCATCTCTTCCCATGAGCTCCTGGCCCCTCGATGGACTGGTTGCGTTGTCCATGGCAGCGGAGCCCGATCCCATGCGTCGGCATGCCTACGCGCGCGGTTCGGCTTCCGCTCTGCGGGCGCCTCTGAAAGGGAGGCGCTTGGCGCGGTACTATGCGCAGTGAGAGAACGGAGTAAAAGAACGGAGCGGGCGCCTGCTAGCCCGCGCGTCTGCGGAGGCGCCGCAGTGGCTCGGGGTCGCGGATCGAGCCCGCCCCAGCAGGCCGGAGGCCCAGCTTCAGCCTCCTCCGAGGACCGCCTTCTGCCTCGCGTTCTCGGGCGCTGTCGGGCACTGCTAGGCGATCCCCGCAATCCTGAGACTCTGCGTCCAGTGCCCGCACTTGGTGCAGAATTGGTGCACGCCAGCCCTCCAAAGCTCGTGCGCCTCGTGGGTGTCCGCCCCCCACCATGGGGGCAGCTCTGGCGGAGGCGGCAGCGGCGGCTGGGCAGGAGCTGCCGCCTGCCCTCCGCTGCCGCTGCTGCTCCTGCCGCTCGGGCCCGCGCCACCAGCAACATCTGGGCCATCGCCGTCGCCTTCGCCAGTGGGCGCGGACGAAGCGCCCGCCTGGCCGGATAGCAGCGCCGCACCAGCCGTGAGAAGCGCAGCCGCCGCTGAAACTGCGCCCGAGCTCCGCTCGCCAACGGCGGTGAATGAGCCCGAGATGGCCTCGCCACGGCCCGCGCGCTCGAGGCGCGCCCGGACCGCATCGCCGCCGTCGGTGCCCAGCCAGGTGCCGCGGCGTCCGCGCGTGCGTCGAAGGCAAACGGGTAAAACGCGGTGGCTCCTCCAGCGCAGCTAACATGTTCGCCAGTCGCAACGGACCTCGTCGAGGCCTGGCTCATCATGTCCGTCGACTGCCGTGAGCTCGGCGTCGCCCTCGTGCATGGCCGCTCCCAGCCAGCGGAAGACCTTCTTGATGAGGTAGTCCTGCCGGTGGCTGCGGCCCCGCAAGGCGTCATCGGCGGGGTTGAGACGCACCCCCTCGCCGGCGCGAGCGTCGGCACGGGGGTCGCCGCGCCTCTGCCACGCTGC